GCCGGTGCAGTGTGAGTTGGTCCTGTATTTTCAGACAGGTTGCTCAGGGAGATCTTCCCTGAGAACAGTACCCATGTCCACAGGTGGTATAAGTCTCCGAGCGGGGGGCCGAAATGGGGGCGCAGTGTGTGCCGTTACCCAGGGTAGCACCGTATCAGGCGCGCAAGGAACAATAGGACTCCGAGTGATGGAGAGGTTTTAATATAAAACAGAGGGCTGAGAAATCGAAGAAGAGCGAGAGGCCAGAGAAAACAGGGAATAGGAAAATACTTGAAGAGACGAAACAAAAAGACGTTTCATTAAGGACTGTCAGCTGGCGACGCGGATGAGAAAATAAAACCGAACCTAATTATCACTTCTCCAGTCTTCCCACCATCCTGTCCCCTTCTTTAACCTACGACTCGTGAAGTGCTCTTTTCTTCCCCTCCTAGCACGCCGGAGAGTCAGAATGGGAGAGGAGGGAGGCGAGATTCGTATCAGAACCCCAAGCCAGCGGATTCTTAACCGTTGCTACGACGACCAGTCACCTGGCAACGGGGGAAACACAATAGCCCGGTAACTTGGCGACTGGCGTCTGTCCGTCTGGAGGATGAGGAGGCACAGACAGGCAGGACAGAGGGGAGCGGCGAGTCAGGGCTCTGATGTTGCAGCACTGCACTCTCTCCATCTACTGTGGGCTGTAGGTATACCCCTGGATCCACTGCATATACCACATACATGGCTCACATACAAGCAGGACGTGTACAGTGTCTAGTAGATATATACAGAGCACTAGGTGTACAGTGTACAGTATATATACAGTAGTCCAGGTTTATAGTGTATTCCATGCAACACATCTGCCTCAGGAGTATAGTGTACAGTTTGTAATGTACAGGTATACAGTGTGTACCATATATGCAGAGCAGGAGTACAGTGCGCTCTGTATATATATACTGTACAGTCTGGTGTCCAGTGTTACCATATACACCACAGGAGTACAGTGTGTATAGTATATATAGAGTCTGTATAGTTGGTGTAAAGTATGCATATTCTACTTTACAATATGTATCATATATACACAGCAGGAGTACAGTGTGTAGAGTAGTGTACACACTGCATACTATTTTATATATACTGTACACTTCCTGTACAGGCTATACATGCTGCATACACTGTATTCTTGCTGTGCCTAGCCTAGTGTACAATGTGTGTCTACCATATATACATTGTACACTATATAC